GAAGGTTTCAGATATTTTTGTGGAGTTTGCTGGTTTATCCACGGCAAAACTAAAGGAAGGAATCTTAGTAGGACCGAACATTAGAAAACTAAAGACAGATCTCGAATTTGTGGACAAAATGGAAACCAAATGAAAAGGAAGCATGAAAATCCTATTGCGGGTCGCTAGGTAACAAGAGATCCAAACTACAAGCCAATCGTCGCAGACATGATCGACAGCTTTAAGAAGCTGGACTGTAACATAAGCAGTAAACTTCACTTTCTCCACTCATATCTTGACTACTTCCTGGGAAACCTTGGTGATGTTAGTGAAGAGCAAAGTGAAATATTTCACCAAGACATCAAAGAAATGGAAAAAAGATACCCAGGAAGATGGAACGTGAGCATGATAGCAGACTACTCCTGGATAATGAAAAGAGATGATCCTCAACGAGTCCACAGCCGGAAAAGCAGCAAAAGAAGCTTCGACACAAAGCGAAAGCGTTATTATAAGCACTTAGGAGCTTAAAGAGAAATGTAACTGCACTGGAAATGTAGTTTAAAACATGATTAATAAACCAAATAAATTTTATGACTTGGAAAAAAGGTAAAAAATTGCTTTACATTTTGTTATTATACCCATATTCTCCAACAATCTCCCTACTTTGTGAGAAAGTGAAACCTGACGTGATAGACAAAAATGGTTTGAATTTTTAAAATCTTCGCTAAAAAGTACATAAAAGTCAGTTATCAAATTTCAAACAACTATCAAAAAATCTTTTTTTTGCAGGCCTGTGTAATTATTCTATTTATGGATCAGATATTAAATGCTGAAAATTGGGCAACAAATTGTGTATAAGTAAGTATTCTAGTAAGATTGTTAAGTTTTTTACTTGTGATTTTTACTCGATACTAATTAAGATATCAACACTTTTTTGCATACTGCTTTTAAATTAAAAAATGATTATTATAAATTTTTTGTAGAAATAAAATCTGACTTGACTGGAGCCTAGCCTATAGTAGTATTTTGCTTGTGAAACAGAATTTTCAACTTACTTTTTTAAATTAGATTTAATTAAGTAAATATGTAATTGGCAGATGACAAAAATATATTTTAGAAAAAAAAAACGAAAACTGTTATTTCTTTTTTTTATTAAATTGTGTTCTCTAAAAACTAAAAACGTGTATAAGTTGTAACTAGTATATTTAAGTAGACAAACATACAAATATATATATATATATATATATAAAAAATCAAAATAATTCACTGACACACATATATGTTTAGCAATCATTATCTCAAATCAGGATGACATTTTTTTTTAACAAAACATGCGCAAATTCAACAAAAGTTGGTCACAGATCAGTAACTAACACGGGATAGGTTGTGCGAACAGTCTGTAAGAAATCTAAACCTACCTTCCATATCCCGCTCCCTCTTTAAATCCATATCCTTTTATCTCCCCCTATTACTAGTTAAATATTAAGACCTTATAACAAATATAATTATAATACAATATAAATAGATCACATTGTCCAAAACTGCTATATTCGGTGTTTCCAAAAAGAAAAAAAATTAAATTCTGAAAGTAGTATACTCTTTTTAAAATCTAAGTACAAAAATATATTTATTTGAAAATGACACCACGCAATCAACTTACTTTTATAAACATAAACGACATCAGTGTTTCTTGGAAACTGTGCTAGAAATATAATACAGTTAATATTTAAATGAAAACTGTGACATATAACAAAACAGTTAATATTTTTTCTAGTTCATTGAAAAATTTTTTGAAAACGATATACATTAAAACCACTTATAATGTCTACATATTACTGTATTCTTGTTACATTTTTTATATCCAGGAAACAAATTTCGGTATGTCAACATTATGTTCAAAGTGTCCCTTTCAATGTTTGACCTAAACTTACACATTTTTTCTCCTAGGTCCGAGGCACGTCATCAACGATATTTCTAGATCGTCACAGCACAACCAACTGCTTAGGATTTCCGAAACATTTAATTATTTTGATAATTCTATAACTACTTTGATTTACATACCTTATATTCTAAATAAACTAAAATTAACAGAAAATTGTGTATATTTAGTAATAAAAAACAATACTTTACGTTAAACAGTACTAAAAAAGCCATTTACTTTCCATTTATGAAATGCAAACGACAGTGTCCAGCTCTTAACTACTGTTTATAGAGTTGCCATATTTACTTTTTATAATACCAAAAAATCTACATCTAAAATATTAAGAATAAGCAATATTTTTTTATTTCAAATTAACAATTTCTGGCCTCTTGTCCATTACAATGAACATAAACGTGTGCACCTTTTATTTCTCAGTAAAGTAATTGTAGTTGCTTAGAGATTATTTATGTAAGTTACTGTAATGAATAAGGATGCAAAACTGACTAATTATTATGATGTGCATACATTTTGTAAATTCAATTTGAATGTGTCAATTGTATAAAATCTTTTATGGACGATACTCACTAGTTTGATGAATACATCTAATCTAGAAGAAGAAAGTGAAGATAAGGAACAGGATGCAATGCAAAGTAGAAAGCGGACTAATTAACAAAGGTGAAAAACTTTTAATATACTATGTCTTTCAGATACAGCAATTGGCGTCAACAAATATTTCAGAAGCTAAAACAAAAAAAAAGAAACAAAATGAAGTTAAACAAAAACTATCCAGAAAGTGGCAGATACGAAGTTATGTTTCGCAAATAAAAAAAAAAACACCTGTCAAACATTTCTAACACTTCTACCACTTCTAACAATTCCAATACGGTAGCACCTCTAATTTAATATTGTTGTAGATATTTTCCTACTTCTTTCTTTGACGACATGCGAAAAAAACTATATTTATGCTTTGCAAAACAGAATCACATTCAAACCAACAAACAGGAGTGGAATAAGTTTCTAGGTTTGCATATTTTGATGGGTTATTTAGGTTTGCTAGGCTGAGAATGTACTAGAAAAGTCAATATAAAAATAACATACTTTTGGAAACCATGTCAAGAAGGAGATTTTTCTACTGCGTAGCAATTTACACAATAATCTAGAAGGATCAGAAGGTATGAAAAACATCATTTTATCCAAAAAGAGAGTTTTATCCAACAAGAAAGAAACTGGATTCAGTGAAGAATTAATTAATGATGGAAGAAGAGTTGTATTATGTCACTGGCAAGATAATAAATCAGTTGTAATAGGATATTAGATGGTATAGACAAGGGCAAAGAACATGAAGTTGAAAGGTTGAATAAAGTTAGAAAGAATATCATAATTAAAAGGCCCAAAGTGATAAAACTTTATTATACAGGAATGAGAGGGGGTGGAAGAAATTAACCAGCTTTTATCCCACTATGTAATTTACATCAAATTCACGAACTAAGGACTAGAAATTTGCTTGAATGAACAGTGGGATTAAATATAAAAGAACTAGAAAATAAAAATATATCTTCAAAGAATATAGTCGATCTACTTCACTTTAAACTAGTAATTGCTGACTTTCTACAAATGAATCAGCCCCTCCATCAACTGTCAGAGGAATTCCATATGAATATAGATCATTGACGGAAATTCAAATTGATTTATTCGATCACTATCCTAAATGCGATAATCACAAGAATGAAGATGATCATCAAGAAGCAACAAGCTGCAAAAACACTGGCTGTAAACGAAAAACTCATGTGTTTTGCACTAAATATCATATTCATTTATGTTTTGACAAATTGTTTTACTCAATTACACTACAAATAATAGTAAGTTAATAAATTGTTTTTCGAAGCTTTTGATTTCTTTGGACACATTGTCTTGTAACGGACATTCACGTAAACTCAAAAATTATACAAAATTTAGCAAGAAAAATGTTATTTCTGAGTTCACTACACAAAAACTAGCTACAATGCCAGGAATATTTTTTTGGTTGGTAAAAATAAATTAGGCTTGAAAAGGTTCAATTAAATTAATATTGTATTTGTAATTGTATAAATTCCTAATACCTTAAATATTAAAAAACGTTTTAGATAGAGAACCATCTAACTTTGTACGGTCGGAATTTGCTTTTTAATAAAAAGATGAAATCGTGAACCTTACTGTTTCATGTAATAATCCCTTTCATTCCTTACAATCCTGACATATGGGAACGCTGTGCGAAAATTGTAACGTTAAATTGGATGACATGCGTCGGATTTACTAGAAAATGATCAATACATGTGTTATATGTAGCAGGTAACAACATATGATTATCACAAGTAGTCCCTAGAGGCTTGTTAGTGTGAGTGTGCAATGTTTCTGTAGTAGTAGATATATAAATCGACTGTTTTGTCGTCTAAATTAATGTAGTGATAACAACCAATTATTTGAACAGTTTTTTTTCTCATGCAGCTACTTCTCTACGGCTTGCACGCTATGTACATTATGGAAGTTACATTTTTAGCTGCCAAAAATATTTGTTTTATAACTAAAATAATTACATAGAGTGGTCAAACGACTATACTTGAAATTTCATCAATCCTACAGGAAGTATTTTATTAATTTTTCACATCATACGAGTGGTTGCTTTACTTTTGACAATGTAAATAAGAGTAGAAGACGCGTCTGAATCGAAAAGCATTTTGAATTCAATGTTCTTTATGACAATGATCATGGTTTTATTGAGACATGAAGTAGATGTTGACCTATTAACTGTATCTTTGTTTTTTTTGCAAATGTTCGTTAATGTCCACAACTTCATAGCTATCATTACTTAAAATTATTTGCACAATTTAGAATATCCAAGGCATAATTTAGGTCATCAATTTACCGTAGGACAGCTTGAGTTTCTAGTTCTATTACCATTATCCATTTCCTACTATACTAATTTAAATATACCTTACACATAATTATTTTAAAAAATGTAACAAGAAATACATTTAGTAACCATCTATAAATTTTACACTCAAATTAATTACTTTTAAACTTCATTGCATATTTTCAATATTTTCTTTTTTTTTAATTATTTGTCCCAATTTTAATATTTATTCCCTGTTTTTAATTGAAAATATCACATAACTTTATCACAGTAATGCATACTCCTTTCTTATAAGAATGGTGGCTTTTAATATATCATTGTTTAATTTTAATGGTTTAAATTATACTTAATATAAAGGAATCGTAGGAGATTTAATCTCCAATCGACTAAATTAAAGCTCAATGAATCACTACCGTAAGTCCGAAAACATTTTTTTGTGGAACTACTTTCAGGATTTTTTTACAATATATTTCAGAATAGAAACCATCAATTGTATCGTCTTTTACACCTAAACCTCATAAACTATCTTGTTTTTATTTATTAAATTAAAAAGAATGGATTTTAAAAAGATCTTTTGTTTTACGCAACAACCAGTGGTTTATATCCAAATATAATTTTTGAAAAAAAATTGAAATGCCACAAAAGCTTTAGAACAATAGGCTTTCCAAGCCTGTATTCTTACTTGTTTTGTTAAATGTTACTGTTTGCAATAATAAATATTAAATTTTGCAAATAAAATAAAAAAGAAATCCATTCCACTATTTCTTTTTGGTAACATCTTCTTCATCTGTTCTGGCAACTTTCAAAAAGACGTCTTCCAATGAAGCTTCACTGATTGCATAATCTTCAATCAAATGCGAATTATGTGTTTTAAGAGCTTCCGCTTCTTGGAAAATATCGCACCATCTTTTATTTTCGTCTTTAATGTAAACATGGAGGAGACCCTGAAAATAAATCAATATAATTCGAGTCCAGACGTATATGAATTGGACCAAAACCAATATGCAACACAATTTTATTTGTCTGAATTAATATTTATATAACTATTAAACGGATTAAATGGGTACGATTAAGTTTATTTGGTACTATGCGGTTTTGCTAATTAATCAACAATATTTAATAACTACTTTTAGACAAACCTGGCCAAAAAAATATTTCAAAACTAGCATTTCGGACCGAGTCTTGTCCCTAAAGCACGTAGTTATACAGTACAGTATATTAAAATGAAAATATTAAGAGCAAATGTTAAACAAAATAGAAACAGAAACTAGGACTTGAGTAAACTTTTTTTTTCTTTTCTGGGGGTGGAGATTTCTAAAAACCGTACCAGGTTAACCCTTCCTAGAGATGGCTGGCTTGTATTGATGTACAACAGAGCTCATTTCCCCCTAGAAGGAGGTCCTGCAAACGGATGCCTTCCTGTTATTCTGCCTATTAACTAAAACCACCCTCTACCACTTGTGTGTAGTTGACTGTCGCACGTACAGTACTCCGAAAATGGAATGGTCGCTGTAAGACTGACGACACTTTTGGAGCTATTCCTGTCATTGGTCTGACTTGTGTTTCTCCTTTTTCCTCTCTTCTTAATGACAGCTCGGATGTAATTGTGTACATTATTTTATTCCTCCTTCTTCTTCTTTGAGTGCCTCTCCTATCGGAGATTATATATCATTATAGCGATTCTAATTTTATTTGAAGTTGTATTATTAGATGTTGTAGATCTTCCGCTGTTCTTCCCATTATCATAGTATCATCAGCATAGAATGTTATTGCCATTGACTATTATCCCTTCGTTTGCATGTGAGGGAGGTTCTTGGCATATTTGTTCGCTGTAGATATTAAACAAGGGCGGTGACAAAATACAACCCTGTCGAACTCCTCTATGTATTTCTATATTCTCCTATTCCTCCTTACTTCCAGTCATTTTCACGATCATCTCTCTCACAATCACAGTCTTCATATATATTTATCTATACATTATATTTCTCTCCACTGTCCATCTACTACACTCCAGCATTGTGTGAGTAAAGTGTCGAAGTACTCGCAGTATAGGCATTTGTCTGTATCTGTCTTTCTGAACCTACGAAGATACGCCCTAAAACACCAATGTCCTGTGAGCACTTGCGTCAGGAAGTAAGTAATCCAGTCGCCTATGACCACAATCCATCCAGTCCCTTAGGCTCGGCATCATCATTTTAGTCCACTGCACAACATCTCCCATGTTCTTCCACTCTACTTGCCATGTTTTCATTGATCTTTCTCTTTCTTATTATTTTATTACTGTTGTCAAATGCTCTCTTCTATCATAGAGATGTCTCCTTTCTACTGCTAACACATGCAGAGGAACGCAACCCGTGACAGTCCATAAGGCCGTCGTAGATACAGTCCTGGCAGTAGTCCTGGGGCGCAGACTCGTTCTGTCCACTGCCTGTCGTAAGAGGCGACTAATGGGAAGGAATGAAGAGAGCCGTCGTTCGAGGTGTCGGATTTGTAGAAACGCACGCAAGGTACATCGGTGTTGCGGTCACCGGTCTACACTCCTAGTATCCGAGACGAGCCTCTCGTGGGACCATTCTACTATCATTCCACAGAACCAAGGTGAAGTTGGACGTGCTGCGTCCCTCAGTCACCCTTTCCCCATTAATAGCGTGGGGTTACGGCACATACATACCCACCTTGGGAGACTTAAGAATGGTAGAGGAGAGTTAGAGTCGGCGGCTACCTGTCTACTTGCGAGGTCGAGCCTCAACCTGCGTTCACCTTTCCGCCCCGCGGGAATAACGGACGGGTGTTCGTACCGCAACACAGGTACTACGGGAGGGTGGAGGCCCGCGATGCAACGCGGAGCCCTGCAACGCGTCACCCTCAAATGGTGTCGTAGGATTCAGTGGCTAGCTAAAGGTCGTATGCCGAAAGGCCAAGTAGACCACGATCCCGTCGGCATTTATTTGTCGGGGGTACACGAATTTCTTCATGTCCACTTGTATCATGAGTCCCTTGTAGGTCGATATCTCTACCACAACTTCAGACTGGTACCGCCCCACTCCAGACCTAGGTAAGCTTAAAAAATAAAGAGTAAATATGCAAGATTTTTCAAGAAAATTAAAAACTTTTTAAGAGAAAGGTCATAGAACACAACCGGCACAACCGGAAGAACATCAAAACCAGTATAATTGAAGCAGCAGAAAAACAATTGGAAACAAAGATGAGGGACGATTAACCAACAGATATTTATATAGTAATATAAATAACTATTACTTATCACAATACACCTGAACAAAGGAATCGTCTCCCAAAGTTTTGAAGTATGTATGTAATTTTTCTGACATAGCCAATGCAATTAGTTGGTCAAATATGTTAATTTTAGCAAAAACTAAAGTAATTAAGGGTCGCAAATAAAACTAACCTAACTAAAATTCAGAAAACAGTTGGACTAAGGTACTTAAAACAACCATCTACTTACTGAATGTTCATCTTTGATTTCACCGCGATCATGATCTGTAAAATATGATTTTAGATCCTCGATACTTTTAAATTTGTTACTGGTCGTGTACACTCCATCTACTTCGTCTACGTCATCCATTAGATTTATCGGCTGAGCTTGATTTCCTACAAGTTTCAATTTTAATGTAAATCCACCATATCTATTCTTTAACTCCACCAATGTTCCTTCTTCAACAAAAGAACCTTTCTTCATTATTTTAAGCCTAAAAATAAATATATTAAGAAAATACGTGCATTAGAAAGTGTCCTTAACTTATCATCATTACGTGTTGATGAAATTGACCACATTTTCCAAAAATAATTATACTCGGTTCGCTGATCCCACTGCCAACTGCCTAGTTAATTAGTAATTTTTTGCAACGTCGGTGAAATTTTGACCTACTGGAAGTGGTTGGAAATTAATAACAACCAAGTACACGAGGTCATAAATAATATTAATCGTAACTTAAAAACAAAAAAATATATTCACTGTAGTTTATTAATAAAACAAAACTGCACCAATTAAAACAAAGGTTTAAATGTTTATTTTTGAAATTTTATAGTCGTTTATAGATTAGTAGTTACAAATGGAAATAGAAATTAATGAATGTACACTCCAGTTAGAAATAATTTCTTCTTCCTTTCTCAATGAAAGAAGTATAATAGTAATATTATGTAAGCTATTAATAGTGAGAAATTTTGTGTTGTATATTTCCGACAATCAATTTGTCAAAATATTGCTAATCTGAGCGAACCGAGTCTAAAATAAGTATAAATGAAATCGTAGGCTTCCACGGCCAGAGTCAGAATTATAGTTTATTCGTCTTCCGGGTTTGGACCGTGTCATTTGTGAGTGACCCAAAAGTGGGTTCATCTCGACGTTTCGCTACAATTGTATGTAGCTTCTTCAGGAGAACAAGGAAAAGAAAAAGAAAAAGAAGACAGAAGAAGGAAGATAGGTAGTTAGCAACGGTAACTCAGTTACTCAACGCAACCAGAGGCGAATACTAACTACCAAGATGGGCATTTGGTCACAGTAACTCAACTACTCATCGCAGCCAGAGGTGAAAACCAAATGCCAGGACAGGGATTCACGTCCAACAGCTCAGAACACTAACGCGTCGAGAGGCGGGGAGTGAATGGGGCGTCATTCACTCCCCGCCTCTCGACGCGTTAGTGTTCTGAGCTGTTGGACGTGAATCCCTGTCCTGGCATTTGGTTTTCACCTCTGGCTGCGTTGAGTGGTTGAGTTACTGTGACCAAATGCCCATCTTGGTAGTTAGTATTCGCCTCTGGTTGCGTTGAGTAACTGAGTTACCGTTGCTAACTACCCATCTTCCTTCTTCTGTCTTCTTTTTCTTTTTCTTTTCCTTGTTCTCCTGAAGAAGCTACATACAATTGTAGCGAAACGTCGAGATGAACCCACTTTTGGGTCACTCACAAATGACACGGTCCAAACCCGGAAAACGAATAAACTATAATACTAAAATAAGTACCTTAATTCTTAATCCTCCGTAAAAGGAAAACTACTGCATTCTGAAAACCTAATATTTTGTAATGAAAGTGCACCTTTTTTGGAAATATGATTAGTCACACCATAGACTAGATTTAATCATTCCAATTACGGCATATATTTACGGTTTGAAAGAAAAAATATTGACCTTTTATATTAACAAGTTCATGGTTCAAAGTTGGACCTTTTATAAATTTCTGTCACCAATTGTCAGCTACATATTCTTGTAAGTTTCTTCTTTGATATTTTCTGTATATTTTTAAGCTTATTGATGTACTTTTAGATTGAACTAATGATGTATATCGATTCATCATACAGAAACGTATTCATTAAAGAATGTAGTAGCAAGATCCTTGTTTTCTTCTCTACTTATGCGAACGATAACCCTTATAATGAGGATAGTGGATAATTCTCGGTCAACAGTTGGAGAATAAAAAAAAAAGGATATCAGCTACTTCATTCTGACGTTTCGTGTATTAAATCTATACACATCATCAGTTTATCTACAAAATTATTTAAATAAGAAAAATCCATAGATACAAACAAATTTGCAAATGGTTTACCTTACAAAAGATGCACCAATATTTGATGCAAGTGAAGAAAATAGCTAAATTTATGAACCATACAGATTTAAAAAGTACAAAGCGTTCATTAGTCAGTTTTTTAAAGTTACAAACGAGTTCAAAGAACAGACATGTTAGAATAACTTTAGTGTAAGTAATAAGGCAAAAAACTTGTATCCAATATGGAACAAAGTTCCAAAGGTAGCACAGATAGAAATTATAATATTTTATATTTAACTTTAGGTAGCATTATTAAATCGGCTAGTTATAAGCCATAAGTGACAGAGTAAAATGCAAGGCACGAGGCAAACAGTTCAAATGTTTTATCTGAAGAGATCTAAGAGTTCCATATATATATATATATATATATATATATATATATATATATATATATATATATATATATATGTAAATACTTTTTTATTTATTCTGAATCCAAGCTTTCGGTGGTTATTTGCCACCTTTATCAAGGTCTACAATGAAAATTACTGTGTTGTAAAAAATTTGAATGATGCAATATAAAAGCTATAAAAAACTTACCATATGTACTGATTTGCAAAAGGCATTAAAATTGTTTATGTTTAAAAAGACACTATATATATGTATATATATAAATATATATATATATATATATATATATATATATATATATAAATGTTTAAAGAAATGAATTAATGAAGTTATACTAGCAGAGGAAGGGTAGCAATGATACACAGAGAAGTACAGGAAAATGAATATAAGAGAAATTACAATAGGCAATATAAAATACTTACTCATCGCATAAAGCTTCGCATTCAGTCATACTATGAGATGTCAAAATGAATCCAATTTTGTTTCCACTATTCGCTTTCATGCCCTTAATCAGATCCCAACACTTCCTTCTCGTAGCCGGATCTACCCCGTTAGTGGGCTCGTCCAATAATACAAATTTACGGTTACCTATAAGGGATATTGCCAAGCTTAGTTTTCTTTTGTTGCCTCCACTATAGTGACCACACGGGATATCCGCATATTGTTTTAAGTCTAAAAATATAACATACATAAATTCTATATTTTTGTTTTATATTTGTTACAAAAAGACATAAATGATTGAGAAGATGAAGAAGTAGAAGTTGGTTGATTTTTTAAAACAAATTAATATAAACTATTTTACCAAAAGCTTCCAAAAAATTATCAATCATTGCTTCATTAGTAACTCCTCGTAAGGCTGCCACAGTACTTAGTAGTTGTCTTCCAGTAAGTACATAGTTTAGCGAATCTGCCTGAGGACAGTAACCTAATGTCTCCAAATACTAAGAAAAAAAAGGTATGATAAATTTAAAATCACTAAGCGCACTTGTAAGAAATCATAAAAAATTTACTTGGGCTCTTTATTTTAAAGGCTTTTAAAATTTATTAATTAATCGAAAGATAGACAGTCAATGTTGTTTAAATTATACAAATTATATCAATCTGGTAAGAATGGCCCGCACATCAAACCAGCATCGTGATTAAAGTCAAACAATTACTGTCCAGGTGAAGAAAGCAGCAGCGATTACGGTAGAAAATCAGAATCCAGGCGGGATGACAATTTTTATTTAAAAAAATTGGAAAAATTGGTTCGGATATAGGAAGCGATTCTTTGTAGACAATGAGGTCGACTTTACTTAGTAACACGACGTTTATACAACACACATACATACACAAAAATTCAAACCATAAAATAACAAAAACATTAAGAACAGAAGAAAAGGTAAGGTTTATCCTTTGCCGAAAGTATTATTAATACTTTTTCATGTTTACTACAGATTCCTGTATCATTTTAATTATCTTTTGCCTACAACGGTCATTCTGTTAGTTCGATAGCTTAGCGGGTTCAGTCACTATCTCCGAAGATATCCGGTTGTAAGTAGTTGATATTTGGTCTAAGTTATACTACGAAAATTTGGCAAACGCTGTATCACAAAAACAAAAGTGGAGAAGCAATCTCGAATTAGAAATTTGTAAGTGATTCGAATAGGATGCAGCTAGGGACTTACGTTTCGGTGAAACTTAGGTACGCATTGATTTCTACCAGAAGAACCACTAGAGAACCTGCATATACTTCTATTATCGTATTTTATTACGTGATAATATGTGGTGATTTCAATGCGAAAACAGGAATCAAAGCATGTTCAGAAGAAACATCACTTTGGCAATTTGGACTAAATGGAAGGAATGAAAGTGGAGAGACCTTAATTGATTTTCTCCTTCAGAATAATCTATTCCAAATGAATAGCTTTTTCTATAAGAAACCACATAGAAAATGGATCTGGGCAAGCCCAGATAATAAAACAAAAAACGAAATTGACTTCATAATTACAAACAAAAAAGAAATCATCCAAGACGTAACGGTCCTAAATGCATTCAACACTGGTAGCGACCATAGAATGGTAAGAGCAGAAGTTAAAATAAGCACAAAACAAGAGAGACGCAAATTAGTACATACAATGCCAATATGGACCCAACCTAGAGATATTAAAAAATATCAAAACGACATCGAAACCAAACTGAGAAACAACACAGACATAACTCTCAACAAAAACATAGATGCACTAAACCAACATATTACGCAAGTCATTGGAGAAAGCATGAGAAAACACTATCCCAGAAATAAGAATGAAGAAAAACTACCTTCTGGTGTCTGTACTGACACCAGAAATTTAATGAAACAAAGAAATCTTATTACAGAAAGAAATGATCCAAATGGAGAGCAACAGAGAAAGATAAACTCGAAAGTAGAACTAGACAATATTATAGAAGCCCTAAACGAGAGCTGCATTGATAGCCGATATTCGAGGCTAATATGTAATGTATATAAAAATGCAACAAGCTCGATACAACTACACGCTAACAGCAACCAAATAAAAATCCAAAGAGGTATCCGACAAGGTAATACATTGTCACCTAAACTTTTCATATCGGCTCTAGAAAAAACGATCAAAACCCTCGAATGGGACACAGGAATAAATGTGGACGGAGAGATGTTACACCACCTAAGCTACGCAGACGATATAGTCCTGATTGCAGACGATTTGGGACAAACAAAGAAAATGTTGGAAGAACTTAGTACAGCCTATCATAAAATAGATTTAAAAATTAATATAACAACAACAAAATATATGACGAACTTAGTACCAAGTAAACACCTTGAAATACAAAATGAAGAAATAGAACCGACAATCAAACAATCGAAGTATCAAGAAGAATAATACAAGGATGGGCAGCATAAGGAGCTCCTAGGAACGTTTTTAAGAGTGACATCCCAACTAATATGAAGAAAAAAGTTTTCGGCCAATGCGTGCTACCGGTGATGACCTATGGTGCAGAAACATTATCGCTCACAAATAAAGATGCACAAAAACTAAGAGTAGCGCAGAGAAGAATAGAGCGATCAATGATAGGGGCCACTCTGTGAGACAGGATTAGAAACGAAGATCTACGAGCTAAGACCAAAGTCATAGACGTCATTGAAAGAAGCTGTAACTTAAAATGGAAATGGGCTGGACACGTTGCCAAAATGAAGAACCGAAGATGGACTCGAAAACTAGTTGAATGAAGACCAAGAGTCGATAAACGTAGCAGAGGAAGACCACCAACACGATGGTAAGACGACTTACGAAAAACAACAAAAATCTGGATACAGCAAGCACAAGATAGAACACTTTGGAGACAAATAGGGGAGGCCTATGTCCAACAGTGGATTAAGAGAAGCTGATGATGATGGTATTTTGTATACATCGTATGTATCTATGTAACATTTTATCTAGTACATCATTAGTCTAATAGAAAATCATTTCCTATGCCATAATAAAAATAATACGATACAAAAAAAGTAATTACCTCGCTTCCTGTAATGTCCATAGGTTGCTTATTGTCCAATTCGATCTTTATTTCTCCATCATCAACCACTTCCTCTCTGGTAAGCATTTTAAAGGTTGTAGTTTTACCAGCACCATTTACACCTAATATACCCAAACAGTGACCGTGCTTTAAAGTGAAATTTATATTTTTAACTATCTGTTTTCCGGCATATAATTTCATTATTTTCTTGGCTCTTAAAGTATTGTATCCGTCACTATCTTCGTTAACATATTTCTCATTTTTCGGGACTAATGCTGTATCTTTGTCTTTGAATGATTTCAAAATACGATTACATTGACGAATAACCATAGCTTTTAATTTCAGCATAAAATATGTATCTAGAAAAATGTTTATCCCTAGATAAAAAACTCCGCATCCTATCATAAACATGTAATGTTCGTTGAATAAGTTGGCGTAGCTCTTATAATTTTTACATTCGATTGAACTTTCTGAAAAAGAAAAAAACAGACTTGTTGTAATATATAATAATATTAATTAAATGTTCATTTTGGATGATTTTTGTTTTTGTAGTTAAAAAAACGTTTAAGCAAACTCTAAATTAGGTTTTACGCAGATGAAATCTTTATCTTGAATCTGAGACGTCTCACGCATTGAATACGCAAAACTATCTCATCGGAATTTCCAGCGAAGCCGGAGTTTTCGACTTGACTAATCATGTTCTTAAAAAATTTTTACTGAGTTAATTACTTACCACTGCAGCAAGGATGTGACTCCATCTGATTACACATAACTCTCAAACGTTGGGGAGATATTTTGAAATTGTAAATATTAACTGTGCGTCTAATAAATGCGACCAATGCATCTGATAACGAAACTTGCGGTACTAAGAAGAAACACACATATTTAATTTTATTTCCAATATTTATGTAGTACTCATCTTGCGATTCTAGTAATACTGCTATGGTTAGTGTAAAAATGATCCCCAAAAACATCCCCATGATGACGAATAAGGCAAAGGCACCAGATGCTGTCTTTTTCCGGCTGAATATATAAGCAAAAGGTATTCCAGCAATACCATAACACAGAAATATGGAAAATAATTTGCCTAAAAAATATATAAAATTTGAAAATTATTTTGAAAATTTTAAACTTACTATAAACTTCGAAAATGTGAAATTGACAAATATATTACATTTTATTTTTTTATAATCAAAATATTTATAAATTTGATGTTACTTGATGATGAAATTTAAGTTCAATAATAAAACAAAATATAAAAATACATTTTAATTTCCATAGAATATCGCCAGATCAAATATTTACTGCAATAATAGTATTAAAGTCTTAATATACTCCAAATAATCCGTCATTATTCTGTTACAATTATTAAGAAAGCACAAAAATATATTCTATTATTTTCGCTGTATTTCACCTTAAGTAAAACGAGTTTTTTGTCTCGTTCAGACTGCCGCTAAAAACAAGATGATTCTTTACACACATCGAGATTATTTTACCGCCAATTCTCCCTTTCTCAATATAAAAACCTATCATTCTTACGATAACTGCCAACCGCCTCGCTAATTCGCTACAAAAAAAGAAATTTTTGTCTACCTAGAATTGAGACAACTATATTTGTTCGTTATCGAAACTCGTAAATGGGTCATAAATCGTTAGTTTTATTGTTTTTATCATTATGTAGTTTCTTCGTAATGTATAAAAAAGTGATTTTTAGAACCCACTGTTTGGAACATGAAAGTTCCTTAAAAAGTTCGTATAACCGTTGAAAGATTGACAGTTGTTTTTACCTATAAAAGCTTGAATCAAAGCTGTATTCAGTCTTTCGTTCGCGGCCATCGTGCCAGTAGTTATATACCAGACTCAACTCTAAGACTTCGTTCCCGGTGCTTCTACCGGACAATAACTTCAAGACTCCTCTCTCAAACTTCGTGTTCGGCCCTAGTGCCAAACAGTTCACATGTTCCTTAACTTTTTCTTTTCTATCTGTTTTATAAATTTATATTGGTTTTAGAGATGTGGTTGGTCTACCTATAAATGTTAACGTAGTTTTTTGCCAATATAAATATACCTTAATTGCCAAATATGGTAATTTTCCGCCTGATGCTACAGAAGATATAACACCACGTTTATCCGTCGAGAGACTTCTTTTTTTAATCGGATAATATGTATATTATAATTATGTTAATTATTTTTTTTTATTTTTGTATTCCTTGCTGTTTCAAGGTCCTAATTTCGACCGGTGCTCCAAGAATAATCGCCACCAACAATTTCAATTTCGAGGATTACCGAGATAGCCATTTGTGGACTCAATTTGGATTTGAGACTGAATAATTATTTACGCAGTAAACTGTTATTTTCCACTTTTTTCATTTTAGGTTGTATTGCCTGCTCCGAAACTGGACACAATTACTATCATTGACATAACATTTAATTTTTATATTCAATATATATTTACGTCCACATCTGTATTTGTTAAAATAACGATGACAAGTATTATTTAAACTTGCATGAATGTGTCTACATCCCACGTTTTGCCTTACTTTTTATAACAAGTTAAATACATTTCTGCTATATAGGTGCAATCATAATCACTAGAACGTTTTAGTAATACTTCTAAGTCGCTTAAATTAAAAGTAGATTTTTTTGGACGCCACTTGAATTTATGCGCATATAAATTTTGTCGCATTTAATTCACAATGTTAAAGTGACAGTCACGACAGACGTACTTCATATATCAATGGCTTACTAGTAAAACCAGGTATGTCTGGTACTCACCGAGCAAAAAGACAAAAGAGGGAATCTAATCGTTATGAAAAGGAGACCAAAAAAGTGGCCTCTGATGGCGGACATATCCGGAAATGCAAAGGCGCTAAATTTAAATTTTTCGACACTTATTAACAGTAGCTATAAAATAGTTTTCAGAATGTGTCTTAGACGAGAAACTTTAAATAAATATTAACGATAACAGTCTAAAATGTGACACAATTGTTAAAAAACTTCAATATAAATAAGATTTCATGTGACAGTTGGGACAAACAATAACATAACCCAACTAAATTTGATTTCTTAAATAAGAAAAGACTTTCTTTCCTTGTTTAATGTGGCCTCTCAAGATGGCACTTCGTGTTTAACAATATTTTGCCCCCACTACATCTACATTCCCTCTTTTGTCTTTTTGCTCGATGCTGGTACTACTGCGATACCATGGTCTGCTCATTGTCGGTGTTGTTTTTATATCTTGCTAATTCTTTCTTTAGTAAGTGGTTTTGTATGTTCCTCTATATTGTATAACTTAATGTTTAGTTGTCAATTGACGACTAAAAGCAAGTTAAGAGTTTATGATTTAAACTTAAGCATGAATCATATAAATCATCAAGAATAGAAATAAGATAGTTCCAAAGCATATGAGAATATAATACATATATCATCCAATATCTTGAAATATACTTCTCCCTTTTTTTGTCTTAAGAGAAACAATGTATTTAATTGGGTACATTTGTACCCAAAGAGAAACATTGAATGTTACTTTTAAATTTTTGCTTGATAATCTACGGTTCATACAGTATGATGCAAATGTATGGAATAAATTCATTATCTCAGAAACAGACTCAGAATTTTAATTTTTGAATGACCATCAACTGACATATATATGTTGGACATTACGTCATCAGTGTCGGAGTAATGACGTAATCGACGATTTTTTTAAATACAAACCGAGGTCGTGCGACAGCTTATTTGAAAGGTCTCCTTATCGTCTTTGCAACATCATTTGAATATTTATTTCTACAGGGTTCATCAAAATGATGAACTTTGTCAAGTAACATGGAATTACAATAAATATTTATTCACTAAACTAAAATACACTAAGGAACGCCTCTGGGAATAAAACAAAATAGTGTTTTTTGCTGGTTCCAAAAAAAAAAACATTGATAACAAACAATACTACATTATAATCTGAAATTAATTATTGTAGTAACTATTTAGTAAGTTATTTTTCAAAAACATTTAAATCAATATCGTCATTGACTCGTCTTTATTTGTCAATGATCTATGAAACTGTCAAATAATAGATGTCAAATTTTTACTCTTCCAGTTTTTTGCCGACATTACAAAACAGCATTTACAAAAATGAAACTAACAGAAACAGAACGAATCGAGATTTTAATGATGTTTGATTATGGAGATAGAGTGAGGACTCAAACAGAAGTTCGTAATTTAATTAATACTAAATACCCCAATCACGAACCAATTAGTCAATCAACACTAAGTAAAATAGAAAAAAGAAATAGAGAAACGGGCCATGTTAAGAATCTTCCCAGAAGTGGTAGAAAATCAATATCCGAAGCCAAGAAATTGGATGTTGTACTGGCGTTTCAAGAAAATCCTCATACCAGTTCTAGGCAGGTCGCACTAGATAATAATGTGTACTAATCAGCTGTTGTAAAAGTGCTAAAAAGAGAGAAGTGGCATCCATATAAAGTACATCTGATCCAGGAGCTATTAGAAGATGACTTTGATAGAAGAATCGAATTCTGCGAAACCGTTATTAAAAAATGTTACAGAGACCAGGGTTTTATATAAAAGGTATTTTTTCTGATAAAGCATCTGTTATGCTGAACGGTCACGTAAATCGCCAGACATATCGATACTGGACAAGTGAAAATCCACATTGGATTGAAGAGTGTAGGACACAATATTCCGAGAAGGTGAATGTTTGGGCCGGCATTATAAACAATCAAATTGTAGGGCCATATCCACACTACGGCGTTGAGGTACGAAATTACTTTAATAACGTTTTCCCAGGTAGGTGGATAGGTAGAGGCAGGTCGCACTAGATAATAATCTGTACTAATCAGCTGTTGTAAAAGTGCTAAAAAGAGAGAAGTGGCATCCATATAAAGTACATCTGATCCAGGAGCTATTAGAAGATGACTTTGATAGAAGAATCGAATTCTGCGAAACCGTTATTAAAAAATGTTACAGAGACCAGGGTTTTATATAAAAGGTATTTTTTCTGATAAAGCATCTGTTATGCTGAACGGTCACGTAAATCGCCAGACATATCGATACTGGACAAGTGAAAATCCACATTGGATTGAAGAGTGTAGGACACAATATTCCGAGAAGGTGAATGTTTGGGCCGGCATTATAAACAATCAAATTGTAGGGCCATATCCACACTACGGCGTTGAGGTACGAAATTACTTTAATAACGTTTTCCCAGGTAGGTGGATAGGTAGAAGGGGGCCCATCGAATAACCACCAAGCTCTCCAGATTTGACTCCATTAGACTTTTTTGTGGGGATATTTAAAGAGCAGAGTGTATCAAAATCAACCGAATAATGTAGAAGTGTTGAAGGAGCGCATCAGAACGGAAATTGCACAAATAACACCTGAAGTCATCGAAAACGTTAGGAAAGAATTTATTGCCCAACTTTCACGTTGTATTATTGCTGAAGGTCGTCAATTTGAACATTTGTTGTAATTTAATTGCATTTATTGTATTCAAGTAAACATTTATTTTAAGTTAATTGTATTAATAAACCAACAGTTTTGTTTAATGCTGTAGAAATAAATATTCAAATGATTATATCGTCGCAAAGGCGATAAGGAGACTTTTGAGATGAGCTGTCGCGTGACCTAGGTTTGTATTTAAAAAAAATCGTCGATTGCGTCATTACGACGACACTGATGACGTAATGTCCAACACATATATAGCAGTTGATGGCCATTAAAAAATTAAAATTGAGGTGTTTTAAATTTTTTTTAAATTCATCTGTTTCTGAAATAATGAATTTATTCCATACATTTTCATCATACTGTATAAGGGACAAAACTACATTATTTATCTTAAGAATATTTTCGGTCGCTCTCAAATAATGTTTTTAAATTTCAAGTGATATTACTGACAACTACTTCAACAATATCCAACAACAATACATTGGATAGTAATAATGAATTACTTAGTTTATCCAAAATTTAAGCTTAAAAAACAAATAAATGTACTTACCAAGTTCGGTGCCGTTATGTTGGAATATGGGAGAACATATCCACAGTAAGAAACTTAATATGAACATTAAAAATATGTAAAATGTCATGTCGGCAATCCAATTAACAAGCCAATAGAAGAATGGTTTCACGCCAGCCATATACTGTATTCTTAAAAATTTCGTTGATATTTCAGTATGTGGGAATATGATAAAAATGCCGTGAATAAAAAGACATCCCACTGGTAATAAGATAAGCCATAAAACAGCAACTTTAGCTTCCGAATATTCTTGTGATGAAAGTCGCTCTTGGACGTATGGTAAAGGCCAATTACTGACAGATATTGCATATTCGGGACCTAATAACGTTTTAGCCAACGAGTCAGTGATTAGATTTACAGAAATTGGAGTACTGTGAGTAGCTATACCATTGTATAATGCTATTAATTTAAAGTCACGATCATAAACGAAATTAGCTCCAGCAATCATATGTTCTTTATAATAAGCTATGTTTTCCAAACTTTTTTGCAAAATAGCTGAAAAATAAAGTAAATTTTATATATTTTATTACTGAATCATAAGAACGTTTTAGAAATCGTTTTTACGGACGCACATAATTGTCAAATTGGAAAATAAAAACTTACATTTTTCAACGTTATCAACTTCGAATGGTAAACTTTTTTGCGATTCTACAGCTGCCATGTAATATTTCATCAATGTATTAAGTTTTTCGTTTGATGTGTCCCCGCTGTAGTAAACCGAGGTTTGTTTGTAGCTGCTGAGTTTGAGGGGTAGTTCTGGTCCCCTTTCGCTATAGTAGTCACTTCCAGAACTTAAAAATACCGCAAGGGAAAAAAGGACTACTGCTACACCCACCTGAAAATGAAGAAAAATCGTTATATCCAATTTCAAAAATACATTTAAGTATGAATATTTTGTCATATTAAATTAATTTTTAATTGTGTGGACAATGCGTAGAGTATCGATTATGGTTTGCATACAGGGACATAAAGAGCGTCACGAATCAGATGGAAGTACTAAAAATTAATCTATTTTTTATTATTAATATAATAGAGTGTTTGTTAAGTAATTTTATTGCTAGACTTGGTACAAAATCTCATGAACATTGACAATATGCAGGTCCGAAAAAAAATGAATCTTGAAAATATTGACTATTTGACACGTATTGTAAAGTACAGCTCACATAAATTGCAAAATTGTACGTTGGAATTCTGCATTATATAAAATTCTGGCGGTTTAAGGTATACGCTTTATATTTTTAGGCGTTACGCCCGTCCGGTAGAGATCTATGGAGGAGTATCACCGAGCCGCAAGCCCTTATCTCTTGCCGTACTGCTCCACCATAGGCCGATTAGATCCCAGCATATTCTTGTCTAAGCCGCAGATTCATCTAGAATTTTAAACTGCTGCGTTAGACTTTTTGTTTTCTGTAGACCGAGCTGGGGCTCGATCCCACATGCACTGAACCATTCGACAGTGAAGCGAATGAGGGGCAGCCGCACAACCCGCTGAGCTATCTGACCGACTATGTGATTATATAACATTTTTAAATGATTTGTGATAAAAACCTATTATTAAGACAAGTTATTTTTAAGAATACTCATGGCCAAAAAAAATGAATCCTTACAAATGAACTTTGGCAAAATGTATTTGCATTTATACGTCGTTATTAGACAATTCTGTCTTACACTCGATATCGTTTTCCAAATTTATGATCAATTCATGCGCGTCATGCATAATGAATTCTCGGTTTGAAATAATCTTCAGTTTTTTAACATGCCTGAAGTATTTACCCATATCTCTCTGACGTGATTTCATTTAGCTGATGAAAGGCGTTTGCTATCTCTAGAACATCTGCTAATTTAAAAGTGGTTTTTATTGCCGCCAATGAAAGCCAACAAATAGATGGGGTGGGATTTATTGTAAACCGAAGAACAAAAGGCCTATTGACTTTAAAGCCTAAAGTCAAAGAATGTGCTATTTGCGCTTGAAAGGGAAATTCTTTAATTACAGTTTGATCAATACACATGCCAAAAATTGATGATAAACCAAAGGAAATAAAAGAACAGTTATTCGAAGATCTAGAGCAAGCCTACAGGAGATGTCCAAAAAATGACATTAATATTGTATTAGTTAACATGAATGCAAAAATAGGACGAGAGCGAGTTTTCATGCTCACGATAGGAAGCATAGCCTACACAACATCAGTAGCGATAATGAATTACGACTGATAAACTTAGCAGTAGCACTCAATATGACAGTCGCTAGCATCTATTTTGAACAAAAGAACATACACAAGGTAACCTTGACCTCTCCTGGTGGAAGAACAACGAGTCAGACTGATCACATCTTAATAGATTCAAGGTACGGAGCAGACGTAATAAACTGTAGAACTGTAGAAGTTATAGAGGCGCAAACATAGACTCAGGTCATTGCATAGTGATCTCAACATTGAGGGCTAGAATTTCAAACACCAGTAAAGAAAATAAAAAGGATACAAAAAATAGTAATTTCAAAAGTTGAGAGATGCGAAAATTGCAGAACGGTACTCCGAAAACATCACCAACAGGCTAAGGAATCAAAATGTAAATGTTGAAGGCCAGACAGATATAGACTCCTACTGGACCAGAATAAAGGAAGACATTGAAGAAGCAGCGAAAGATGAAATAGGAACAGAAATTTGTGCCCGAAAAAATCATTGGTTTGACGATGAATGCAAGAAAAGAAAAAAATAAAGCCTACAGAAACATGCTTACCCGACGAACTAGAACAACTGTATAGAATTACCAAACAAAGACAAGAGGATACATAAAAAAACGAAACCACCTAAATACGGAACTTAAATATAGAAAACCTTAACAGAGAGAAATAATTCTGAGCATTCTATAAGAAAGTTAACATCAACAGAAAAGAATTCAAGGCAACCACAAGACAATGCAGAAGTCAGAATGTCGACCTATTAACAACAAGGAAAAATGTATTGAATAGATAGGTGGAATACTTTAACCATCATCATCATCATTTTGGCTTTACAACCCTGTATGGGTCCTAGCCTTCCCAAGAATTTTTTTCCAGTCGTCCCTATCCATCGCCTTCCTCCGCCAAGCACGTATTTCCATATTTCTCATATCTTGTTCTATGTTATCTAGGAATCTTGTTCTAGGTCTTCCTCTTCTTCATTGACCAATAGGTCTATCAAGGAGCGTTTTTCTTTCTCGGAATACTTTAAACAGGCACTTAATATTGAGGAAGAAGAAGAACACCTGGACGACGAAAGAGATGAGGTAAGGGGAGCAGAAGAGAGGGAAGAGGGACCACCAACGATTCTTGAAGTTAAAGATGCAGTAAAAAAACTAGCGAGAGAAAAATCACCTGGAATAGATAATAATCTCCCAGCTGAACTATATAAAGAAGGTGGCCATGATAGCATTATGGAATTACTGCAGCTTATAAAAGAAATATGGACACAGAAATCCATCTCCAATGATTGGAATATTGGAATACTTTGCACCATACACAAAAAAGGAGATATCTTTGAATGTTCTAACCACAGAGAAATTATGCTTCTAAATGCAGCGTATAAAATATTTTCCACAGTATTATGTCACCAGGCTGACTTATAAAAAATACTTATAAAAAATACTTATAAAAAATACTTATAAAAATACCGGGCTGGTTTCAGTGGTGGTAAATCGGCAATTCATCAGATTGCAACCCTGAAACAAATTTTGGAAAAAACACTGGAATATGCATTTATACTCATCTCATATTCATAGACTACAAACTATCATACGACTCTGTAAATGGAAGAGAAATGTTCAAAGCAATGAAAAAGCTAGGAATACCAAATCAGTTGGTAAATTTAACAAAACTAACTCTAAAAAAAATTTGAATGTAATCACAAATAATGCGCTGCGCCATGGAGAACCTCTCTCATGTATACTGTTCAATCTGGCTCTGGAAAATGTAATGCGTATGTCACAAATCAGAACCACTTGTTCAATATATAATAAATCAGTGCAAATCCTGGCCTATGGTGATGATATCAATATTGTTGGGAGAACCTAAACGCTGTACGAAAGGCTTATATTGCATTAAAAGAATCAGCTACAAAAATGGGTTTAATAATAAACGCCAACAAAACGAAGTATATGAAAATAAGCGCGCAACCACAAATCGTGTGACCACTCGTTATAGAAGCAGCGAACGAATTTGTATACCTGGGGCGGTCCTTCAAACACTAAAAATAATACTACCGCAGAGATAAACTACAGAATTTGCACGTCCAACATATCCTATTTTGGGCTCAATCTCATCGTTAAATCCACAATTATATCAAGAAATACAAATATAAAACTCTACAAAACAATAATACGTCCAGTTCTAACATACGGTTCAGAGACCTGGACTCATAACAAAAAATAATGAAAACATGATAGTAGATTAGGATGTTTCGAAAGAAATTACTAAGGCGAATTTATGGAGCAGTGAATAACAATGTAGAGTGGACAAGACGATACAACTCCGAACTTTATAGAATATACCAGGAACCTGATATCGTAGAACATATCAAGATCGGACGTCTGAGGTGGATAGGACTTGTAATGCGGATGGAAAAAAATAACCCAGCTATAAAAACGCTCCTTGATAGACCCATTGGTCAGAGAAAAAGAGGAAGACCCAGAAGAAGGTTCCTTGATAACATCGATGAAAACATGGGAAATATGGGAATACGTCCTTGGCGGAGAAAGGCGATGGATAGAGACGACTGGAGAGAAATTTTTGAGGAGGCTAGAACCCTCGCAGGGTTGTAAAGCCAGAATGATGATGATGTTTATTGCCGCCACATCATTTTTTTTAAATGGCCAACATTTTCAATCTGGTAAGTTTTATATGATATGGTGGTAAACGTAAAACCGAGTGGCTGTACTCAGATATCAATTAGTCTACAGCTTCCACAGACTTTTTATTTTCAAGGAAGATAGTTTACCAGTTGCAATTACTTCATTTGTAACAGATTACCAAACAGTGTTCATGTTAGATCTTCTGTTGTGGATATTAGCAAATGTATAAATGGTATTTCTTATAATGTGTTGCTCAAATAGATTAACCGATGACTTGGAGCTGGGTTTGCAAATCCTTGTTTTGGGTGAACCAAATTTTAAAGTTTATGGTGTATTTTACATTTCTTAATTATTTTCTTTGTCGTACTTTCTGAGATACCAGTTGCTATTATTTGGGATAATAGTTAAAATATGATATTAAATATTAGTTATTTTTAATAAAAAAATTAATTAAACAATAAAACTAAAAATTAATAATAATTTTTAACAAAAGAAAATAACACGCAATTAATATTGAAACCTATTTTTACTTAATAACGATTAATGATAATAAATACTTACAGGTACAATGTATGTTGACCACTTTTTTAGAGAGAAATTCACTTTCTTTTTAAGTAAAGTAATAAGAGTCAAAGAAACATGGGGTTCGATGTCTTCTGCAAATAAAAACAAAATATATAAACGTCTTTCATCATATCAGAAAAATACAAAAATACAAAAAAGTATATTAGATGCTATACTAAAATCTAAAACTACTAAATAAAAGAAATGCAGGTTAGCAGCATGCAAAGTATATATATATATATATATATATATATATATATATATATATATATATATATATATATATATATATATATATATATATATCGGCGAAATATAATGAACTGTTGAACAGAGTACAATTGCCTTTCAATCAGCTGCATACCCAATTAATCTCAACTCCCCTTTATATATATATATATATATATATATATATATATATATACAGTGTAGGTAAAAGTTTATGGTCGGTATGGTAAAATTTAACAGGATATCTAACGCAGATATAAAATCATATTTTCAGCGAATAGACAAAGATAACAATCATATTTCCCCTTGGTCTCCCCTCCATAAATATTTTTAACACTCATTGCTCATTCGTGAGACGAATAGTTCCGATCAGAGATATTTTACATATTCTCTGGTTCCGACCTAATATACCTAAAAAACTAAAGGTGGATCCTCTCGTTTTTTAAATTTTTATCGGAACCATTTTTCGTAAACCGTAACTAGTTGATTGTTTACCAGTATTCAAATTAGCGAGTACACAAACATATTGGCTATTATCATTTATGTGTATAAGTAATGAAGTGAAAGAAACTAACGAAGGATATATTTCTTATAACTTGAAAAATAAATTAAACAATACAAATAGTACTTACATTTACATTACACATTATTAAATCGCGAATCGTCTAAATTGATATTTAAAAACAAGTTTTTCCATTTTTCTTGTTAACCGTGTTCTTCTTTTATTTAAAATTAAACCAGATTTTAAACATGTGTTCACAAGGAAATGATTTTGTTACAATACTACAATATTTTATGAATATAGTGGTTAAGTTAGGATATACATGACGATGTTTTTTCCACCACGGTAATGGACATTTCCAATCTCCGTTCGAAATTTTTTGTGGGTAATATATCATCAGACAAATACATGTCGACTTCTTTTATATCTCTCGATACAGGTGTATGTTTAGATGAGTCACGTCCAATTAATTCATCAAAAATACACCATGGACTTAAGTCATCTTTATCAGTTTCTTTTTCTTGTACTGGTTTATTTTCAAGATTTACTAAACTTATGCAAAGACTCGTTTCATCCGTTTTCCATAAGTGAAGAACCAGCTTTTAAAAAGTTTGCAGGCTGGATTCCTGGATATAAAGTGGCAACAAGAAAAACTGTCAGGTTCATTACTTCAGGAATGTTATGTCAAAACTGATTTGATAATATATAAAATAAAAAGTCCTATTTTCGACAATTCTTCAAAAAACACATTTAAAAAAGTACCTTATCTTCAGAAAGGCTTTTAAAGTATTAATTACAACATAACAAAGTTCCCAAACGGCCAATCCAAGACATGGAAACTAGGTAGAACTTCACCTACTACATGTTAAAAAAAATGACCGAGTTAGAAGAGGCAATACGTTCCACATCGGTATTAAATAATATAGACTTAGACCAAATCTAAATAAATAACACTGGATTATTTGTTCTCAGCTTTCCCAAATTTTACGGCCGTTTAAAGAAATAACAAGTACAATGAGTGACCAAAAATACTTGAAGGGTAGTTCAGTGATTGTTATGGTACGCTACCTGCAAGAATCTTGCAATAAAATTTTAGCAAACGGTAAATTTAGCAATAAGGTTTAGCAAACCTTACATCCATAGTATCCGACGTAGTACAATTACTAGTATCGGGTTTAGCAAAAAGATTTAAAGGGATAGAACACAGTGGCACATTGTTATTATGTACATTTATGGATTTACCATTTAAAATGCAGGGTTTTTCTGATAAAAATGAAGATAAAAAAATAAAACAAAAAGTTAAGAAGCTGGTTACTTCTATAATTAACGAACAAGAAGATTGTACTATTGAAAATCAACCAGTACAAGAAAAAGAAATCAATAAAGATGACTTAAATCCATGGTGTATTTTTGATCAATTAATTGGAGATGGCTCATCTACACGTACACCTGAATCGAGAGTCTATTACAACGGTGAAAAAACGATCGCCATGTATATCCTAACTTAACCACTATTAGTATTGTAAATGTGAACACATGTACAAAATCTGGTTTAATTTGAAATAAAAAAGAAGACGGTTAATAAGAAGTAAAGTTGAAAAACTTATGTTTTTGAATGTCAATTTAGACTATTCGCGATTTAATAATAACGTGTAATGTAAATGTAAGTTCGAGTTACTATTTGTATTGTTTATTTTATTTTTCAAGTTATAATAAATAAATCATTAGTTTCTTTCACTTCAATAAATATACACATAAACGATAATAGCCATTATGTTTGTTTATTTGGTACTCTCTTACTTAAAACTACTTTTAAACAATCATAATTACTTGTTTACAAAAATTTAAATTTTTAAATGCATTCATGGAATCCTGAGAAAACTAACAAATATTTTTGAAAAATTTAAATGCAGAATAAAAGATTACATTATTACCGAGGGCCGAAAGCCCCTTAGACCCTATAGAATACAACACCCCTATAACTTATTAAAATAAACATTACAGAAGTTTTCAGGGACTCTCGGCCCTCGGTAATAATGTATTCTTTCATTCTGCGTTTAAATTTTTCAAAAATATTTATTAGTTTTCTCAGGATTCGCAAAAAATTAATGCATTTAAAAAATATTGGAACGAAATTTTGTGCCTACGCTGTTAACGATAAAACTACCACGACTCACCTCTACTACTCGTTACTCGGTCGGCCAAACCAGACCAGACCAGACCGACGTTGCCAAATAATTATTGTATATGAATATTTTTTAATGTGGCGTTATTGAATGCAGTTTATTATTTAATATTGAGAATAAGGCACAATGTGACTTTAAAATAAGCTTATTTTGATGTTTAGATTTTTAATTCGGAAATCATACTTAAAATACGAAACATTAATAAATTTTATTTATATAAAACGATTTGCGAAGTGGAAATCAAAATGTTATATTACACTTATTGTAAAGTAAACTTGTGGCATATTCCCAATAAAAAAAAAACAGTAAGCTGCCGTTTAAATCAATTTCGCCCAAATTGGATTATCTTGAGAACATTGTTAAGGTAAGGTTAAGTTTGTATAAAATAAATCGGAAAATAAAGCCAGGAGAATCAGTATCTTGTTTGAAGTGAGAAAAGATGGTCATTAATTTACAAAAGTTTTGTTCAACAAAAATATCTTTTATTTATTGAGTAAACGAGACTTTGGCACATAATTATTTTAAATAAGTAACCATTTTATCATACATACGAAATTCCTATGTAGACAAAAACGATGTGAAAATGTAGTTCGTGTGACAAGATAGTAAACTGATGATGTTCTGTATAAAACAGCTGTTATAAAACAATGTGTTATTTAGCAAGCTGATGTGCTAAAGTCTAATAAGAAATTGATGAACAAGACTATAAAAAAAGATAATAAAATACTACAAATTATTAGTACCGCATGCAAACCTAAGTGCAGAAAAAAAGAAAAGTGAAAAAGTTAGCAATCTCCCATATTCAAAATCAATTACCTGGCACATTTAAGTCCAACAAACCTGAAACATTAATCAAACGGCACAGTATAATAAATCTAATAATAAGGTGATACTAATGCTATTTTTATTTATTCAAATATTATTTTAAAATAAATCATTAAGAGCTTCACAATGTTAAACTATTTAGCTAGTGAAAAATAACAATGGTAATCCTATATTTCTAGGGAGCACAGGACCAGCAAGAGATCTCTATTGACACGTGTCTTGCCTGAAGGCACGTGCCTATATGACATTGTCGAACAGTACGTCTGCTAGCAAATCCCATTCCCACATGTACGTGGTACGTCCTGAACCACGTGAAGTAAACTTGACGGAAAACAGGAGGAAGACAATAAGAGACCACGTCAATATTTTTTCTCATTACAGTTATGATGGTCAATCTTCTTCTTCTTGATATGCCTATCTGTTACGAATTTGGCGACCATCATGGCAATCTTTATCTTATCTGGAGCAGCGCGGAAAAGCTGCACAGATGTTGTATTGAACCAGATTCTGAGTTTCTTTAAACAAGATGTTCTTCTTCTTCCTGGACCTCGTTTTCCAAATATTTTTCCTTGCAGAATGGCTTGAAGGAGAGCATATCTGGATGCATTTCGCATAATATTTCCGTAGAACTGTAACTTTCGAGTTTTGATGGTGGTCAGTACCTCTCGGTTCTTATTCATTCTTCTCAGGACCTTTTCATTTGTGACTCGGCCCGTCCACGGGATCGTAAGCATTCTCCGATATAGCCAGATCTTAAATGTTTCTAGTTTTTTTGCACATATCTTCGTTCAAGGTACACGATTCAACACCATAAAAAAAGAGAAGACGTAGCATCGCAGCATTCTTACTTTTGTATTAAGAGAGAGGTTGTGACTCTTGAAGAAGGCCCCCATCCGATTGAAGGTGGATCTAGCTTTTCCGATGCGTGCTCCAATCTCCTGGTTGTTGGTCCATTCTTCATTTATTATGGTGCCGAGGTAGTTGTAGTGCGTCACTCTCTCTACAGGGGATTGGTTGACGTAGAATTAAGCTTCTATTATTCTTTTCTTGCTAATTATCATAAGCTTTGTCTTCTTAACGTTTATTTTGAGTCCATATTGTTGACTGTAATAAGTGATTTTGTTCACAAGAACTTGTAGGTCTTCTAAGTTGTCCGCAAACACTATGGTGTCATCTGCATGTCTGATGTTGTTTAGCCTGTAACCATTTAGTAGAATACCTTTTTCAGTTTCTGGCACAGATTCGATAAATATTCTTTCCGAGTACAAATTAAAGATTACATCAGACAAAATACAGCCTTGCCTCACTGCACGCATGAGTTTCAGTCAGTGTGTTCACCTTCAACTCTGAG